ACTGTAATTCGGGCCACCCGCTTGCATCAGTCATTGTTAGATGTGGTGTATTACAATTTACATCTCTACTTCTAAAAAACAAAAAGATAATATATTGCTTAATTGAGGCAGACGCTTGAATTTGAATGCTTCAATATTTTCAAAAATAAATAAATAATAATAGTGTTTTATACACTACAAGGTAGTTTTGCTTTCATCCACGTAACCTTTGAAGGCTACTTCTATCTGGCATGGGACATGTAATTAAAACATACCTCAAAACATAAAATTTACAACTATTAATTTAATGTCAATTTCTAGATACCTAAGGAGTCAATTTTTTTTTGGATATAATTAAAATGAATATTTGAATCAGTTTGCATATATCCTAATTAATTTTATAAATTTTAAAATTAATAATTATATAAATCTTTAATAATATTAAATTCTGGCCAATTAAATTATATTTATCAAAATTATTTAAAAAGTTAATCTTATCTTCTCTCCAGCAAAATGATTTATAGGTATATGAGTCATGTTATCAATCAATATGTACCAAATTAAAACCCAAAAAAAGAAAAAAAGGTAAAAGGTAGGAGAGAGCCTGGATAAGATCATGACAAGAAAGCCTTCTTCAATGTCCTCTTTGTTTGACAATAAATTCTTGCTTTGTGTCTTGAGCTTGCATGTAAATTCCCACATGTTTGGAAATGAAAAGATTTTTGGGAGAGTTACGAGGTATTTAATATAATAACACAAATTTGCGGTTATTCATGGTAGTGTAGGTATTAAACTCGAATTAATTTGATAAAAAGACTTGATGATTGAATTGGTCTAAATTTATTAAAATATTAACCGGTGAAATGATGTGATTAAACTTAGTAAATCTGATAGGTTAATCTATGATTTGAGTGAGATTTAATATTTTTTTAAATAAAAAATTTAAAACTTATTAGTATATATATTTTATATTAAAAAAAAATATTATTTTAATATAGAATAAAAAAACTTTTTAGTTTAAATATTTGAATTTAAAAAAATAATATAGTATCTTTTGAATATAAGATTTGAAACCTATTAATATATATAATCTATACTCACACGAAAAAACTATATTTTTTAATATGAGATTTAAAACATATTAGTATATATATTCTATATTCTTAAGTAAAAAGTTATATTTTTTAATATGGGATAAAATAGTTTTTAGGTTTAAATACGTCAACTTAAAAACTTAATATAATATTTTTTTAATGTGTGATAAAAAACTTTTTAAAATATTTTTTTAAATTTCTTTATTTATAATATGTATAAGTTATATTTATATGGATTTTTTTCTTAATTTTTTCATATAAAATATTAAAATTTTAATTTTTTTAATTTTTCAGATTAATCTAGATTGACTTGAGTTGACCCATAAAACCTGAAACCCGATCTCCTAATCAGATTAACTCCTTAACTAGGTTTAATAACTATGATAGAAGGATTGAAATTGATTAAAAATTAATTTTGAACATTTAATATTAAGCTTTTCAATTTTTTATTTCAGCCAATTGGAATGATCTTATAGCCAACATCTAAAGAAAATAGAAGAATATTTAAACCAATGTAAGAGATTTATTTTTAATTTAGATCGTTCAAAGAAAAACAAATCTTAATTGATGACCAAACTAATCCAAAAATACTCTTTTTTATCATTGAATTAAAAAAAAATGTTGAATGACAAATAGATAAATGCAAACGTATCAATTTTTTCCAAGCCCAACCATTAAATAATTTGGGTTAATTTTCTCAATCATCTTGTAAAAAGTAAATGTAGAACAACTTATTTACCCACATGCATTTCTAGTTTTTATTTGCTCTGATTTAAAACAAAACAACATACAGTTAAGGATTTTAATATTTCATTGCATAATTTTTAGAAGTGAAAGATGATTCCCACTTCAAAACATATTGGTCTTCACGGAAAAAAAAAAGGCATGAAAAACTATGTATCTGTTAAGTAATAGAAAACTATTTTTTTAATTTCATGTTTCCTTCTCCTTTTTCAATTTCACTTAAGTTATATTTCTAATAAAATAAATAAATTTATGAAACTAACAAATATGAAAATATACATAAAAAAAACAACAATCATTTTAATGTTTTACATTATTAAAAGATCTTGTATATAATTCCTTTATGTATTATTCATCATTTTATTTTTATTTTTTATTTATAAAAAATGATAAACTTGGAAAGGAGAACAATATAAATTTTTTTATTTATCCCGAAAAATCTAGAACCAAGTCATACTAGTCATTTGATGTCGTGCTCGACACTACAAAAGACGACTCAACTAGGGACTCTCTAGTTGAATTAAGTTTTGTTGATTGTTTATCTATTGTATCTTACTTTATTTGTGCTTTATTTTATTTATGCCTCATTTTTATTTGTTAGTGATTTAATTTTAGCATGCATTTTTTTTACATATTGTTGACGCATGAGTACATTGAATATGAATTCATATCTCCTTGCATTTTAATTCTTAAAGTATAAAACCAATTATAAGTTAGGTGAATAATTATCAATTTACCTCATAATTTTTAGTTGAAGTTCAAATTCATAAAATATCTAACTATAATCTGAGTGTTTACTTGATAATAATGATCATTTTATGCTCTAATTATTTCTTGTAAACAAACCTCAATACTGTCTTTATTAGAGGTAGTCAATTGACAAATCATAAATTATTTTTGAGATCAAATAGTAAACTTGTATCTCATGTAATGATTAAAACATACCTTTTGGATGTTTGACTCTAACACAACCTATCCTTACGATGTTTGACTTTCTTTTAATTCATTTTGCATAAGAAAAGTTTGACCAATAATCTTGAACTTTGTAGCATTTTTTTCATGCTAAGATCATGATTTTTTTTTTTAATTTGGGAAAAAAAATCGAAGATGATGTAACTAGTTGAGGGGAAATGCTCAAGCACTAGGTTGATAAATTACCGCACACAAGAACCATTTATGTTTTTGAATAAAAAAAAGTATCAAATCCACTTTTTTGTTTTGAATTCTCCAATTGCATGAGATTTAAGTGATATGAGGACTTGAAAAAAGATCTTTTTAGATTCATCATACTATAATTTTTTTTTCTTGTATTCATAAAGAAGTTATGGATTAGCTCTTTCAACATACTAATTCATATTCAATATACATATGCATTTACATTCATACATGAGCATATATGCATATATGCTTTGGGATGTCAAATATTAGATGTGCATTCACAAGTTGAAATATAGAACTTAAGTGTTTTCACTTGATTAAAAAATTATTTGACTCTAAAAAAATATTATTTGTAATTGCATTGTTCAAACATGCATGTTGATCTATAAAAAAATATATTCATACGATTGCATATTTAAAGTTAAAAATTAGGTGTTAACAACTACTATCATTTTTTTTATGTTATTGTAATAAAATACATAATACTTAATTTTAAGCTTATCTTGGTTATCTCTTGCTCTAAATAAGAATGGTAAAGCTTAATAGAAAAGATGTTTCTTTTTAGGTTGGGAGAGACCTAATAAGAGATTAAGGCTACAGAAAAAAAAGTAAAGAACAAATTATTAGTTATTAAAAGATAAGATTTCAAAGTTTTGCCTAGATCTTCTTCATGTCCAATTATCTTTTGAATCTATAGTTGTTTTTGCTTTCTCAAGCCAAAGAGTAGCCATCAAATCTTCTACTCCTTGTCCAAAAAGTAAGTTGTTATTGTTCTTGCTTTGGCTTAAAATGGTAGTTCAAAATCTTATATATAGGTCACACGTGTGGTAGTAAAAGAAATACTAAGTAGGTTCAGTTTGTACTAGATAACCCTTTATCAGAATGTATAGTTATTGCTATTTTTACATTGATATTTAGATGATCAAGAAGAAGGTAAGAGTAGAGAAAAAAGAGTTACCACTCAATATTGATCTAAAAGTTTTGGTTAAGAATATTACTCGCGCAATTAAAAAAGACCTCAATTATCCTAAAATGTTCTATTAACAAGGATATCATTTATTTTTAAATGAAAGAAATATTTTATACAATTCCTATTTTCATTTTCAATTTGGGAATTAAAAGGAAGTCTCGATCTCATTAAAAAAATTAAAATTAGACTATTATAGTCGACTTTAATCGAGTGTTAAATAATTTATCATATTAAAGGGACTAATTAATTCACTTTGCTAGCCTAGAGGGACTAGTTTATAATTAACTTTTCATGCAATTTCACATGGTGAAATGATTCATTTTGTCCTCTTAAGTTTGGCAAAAATGATTTCAGTCCTTGTGCTATAATTGTTTTACAAATAAGGTTTTTGTAGAACGTTTTTTGGTTATTGCATTTTTTAAAAATACATTTCAGTTCTTATAAAAAATAATTAAAATCCCGTACTAGTAGTTTTGTAATGCTCATTATGACTTATAATGTGATTAGTGAATGACTTTATATATTATTATTTTTGAAAGGAAGATTTTAAGATTTTTTTTTTAAGATAGTCAATCTCTATTAAGGAAAGCCTTTACACGGGAAAGATATATATGTACCTTAATTCCACCCAAATTTTTTTTTTTGTTTTAATTCACCCAAATATCCTAAAATTTTTTTTGTTTTGTTTTAATTCACCCAAATATCCTAACATAAACAATAGAGTTAATCACAAAAGAGAGAATATGTCGAAAACAAGATATCTTGGGCTCTTAGAATAAAAAAAAAAAAAAAACTAAGATTAAGAGGAAAATGTCGTGGTGAGGTTTAGTTTCTCTCAGTTCAATATGTTTCTTCTTCATGCCCTATGTTCATAATCAAAATCATTTACTTGTTAGTCCTGCTTTCTCTCTTTTAAATTTGTTCAAACAATTTTGAAATTAAAAAACCACATGATAGATTAAAAGAAACCACACGTGTGACTCTCACATGTGGTTGATTTACTAGACTTGTAGGTACCATACATGATGGAAATTGACGTTGAAACAGATTTGAGGTTTATGAAGGTTAATTGAAACAAATTCATATATTCTTTCGAGTAAAATTAAGATAATACATAAACCTTAGATAAGCAAACTAAAATTTACCCTAAACTAAGAAAATCACATTTAGTTTTAATTAAAAAAATGAATATTTAATAAAAAATGCCAATTCCATTAATAAACTCGAACCAACCTTCCTGTTTTATTCGGAACGTGCTACACCCCCGGTGGATAAAATTAACATGGATTTTGATTTTCCATCCATTAACTCATATATACTCTTTTGTTTTGTATCTTCTCTGCCTCTGCTACATTCAAATGGATAATGCCGTTCTCCTTCATCGTTTTCCCTCCTCCTGAGATGGTATCTCGGAGCTGCTCGGAGCTCATTGTTAACAACTTCAAGCCATCACTAGTTTTAGGAAAGAAGGCTTCCGGCCTCAGGCACCAAGCCCTAAATACTCCGAACAAAATCTCCATATCGCAATTAAACCTTTCAACACCAGCATCATGAAACTTCACCATGCTCATAAGAAGGCCATTAAAAAGCAAGTGGTCAACCCCCGCTGCCAAACTTCGCCAGGCACCAACAAAATCTATCCGGTTCAAATTCTCTTCCGCTACTGCCATCTTTCCTTGCAAATAATCTAGAGCCCCGACTAAAGTTTTGGAGATTGTCCAACTTTCTTCACCCTTTTCTTGCCACTGCCTCCTGTTTTTTATATATTCTCGACACCTAGCATCAAATCCCCTCAAAACAGCGACTGATATCCTTTCAACCCACTCTTTTCTGAAATTTTCCAACTTTTTTATCTCCTCGTCAAAAACACAACCAACTGGTCCATCAATTGGCCCCTCCAAACCACTATTATCATTAATCCCTATTCCCAGTTGCTCGCTGTGATCAAATTCCAATTCAAGAAAAAAGGTGTCCTCACACCATTCCTTCAAAACAGATTCAAAGTAGTGAGCAGCATTAACAGAGTTTGCAACTTTGATTAACCCATTGTCATCTGTTAATGCAGTCAGTCCTTCAGCTTCTTGGCACCTGAGTAGCAAACAATCCAAATATCGTTGCGTAATAGACCCACCAGCCATTTTCAGAAACCTTGACCTCAGAAAGGCATTAGGCAGCGATCGGCATCGATCAACTACCAACAAAAGTCGCCGAACAAAGGCACTTGAAACCGCAGGAGATTTGTAACTTTCAAAACCAGATAGAAGAGCACCTTCAATTTTTGCTGTCCAGTTTCTCTCATCATCAACCTCAGGTTTTAGCTTCTCAAGTGTGTCATTAAGTTCAATTTCTGCCCATATATCAAGCCAGTCAGGTCGATCACAGAAGACTGATAGGGAAGAAATCTTCTGCAGGTTGCCATCGTCCTGAAGGGAAAGCAAAATTCCAGAATGCATTACCAGAGACTGAATCTGTTTATCAAAAGCAATCATAAGATCAACAAGATGAAGCCAAGAAAACCTAGCCTTTGATTGTACACCACTAACGCTCTCCCCATCCAGTTCAGCAACATACTTGGGGAATATCTCTTTTGCCAAGTATGTTACTAAAGAGGTTACCATTGCTGAAATCCATTCTTCTCTGCAACTGTAACCCACTAACCTTGCTTCATCAACCAGTGGTTGCAATAATTCATCCATAGTGCCGACATAATCCCTGGTAATCTTATAGACAAGAGCAAAAACGAATTCTGGCTTATCGATCCACTTTGAAAAATGTCTTTGGCATGCAATTGAAATAGGATTCACAAGTTCTTCGATTGCCCAAAATGGTTGCTGCAGAGCCACTTTCCTGTTGTGACCCTCAAGTTGCCGTGATTTTCTCCGCCACTGCAGCTCCTGCAAGTGACACAAAGCAAGAAAGTTTTCACAGTACTGTTGTTTAAGAAGCCCTTGCATTGTGAAAAGAGGATTGGAGATTTCAGCTGATTTTCCAGTATCAAGGTTTGAGGATGTCAAAGTGGAAAGTGGAGGTGGCCATCCTAGGGATCCAAGAAGTGATCGATGATCAGCAACTGCCTGGGGTCTTAATGTGGCAAGAGCCCTATCTATTCTGTGGTCAACTGCTGACACAAGACTTGTCCACTGAGGGTGTGTCTCTGTAACATAAATTAAAACATCTTCTGAATGTCTGAGTCTTTCAATAGCAAGCTGGCGCATTTCCTGCAAATGTTAAAAAAAAAAAAATTAAAAATGATGCAATAAAAAGATATTTGCAGCATTATTTACATTATACTTAATTAAAGACTGCTCACTTCTACACTCTCTTTGGAAGAATGCTTCCTTAGATTTTTGTTCATCGCAGAAGATACCGCATCCTCAATATCACCAACCAATGTATCAAGTTTCAATGCCGTCTCTGAAAGGTACAAGAAAGTTGTTGAGAAAATTGACAAATTTTAACCACATGTTTTTTCTTTAATTTTTTATTTTTATTTCTCATAAATCTTAATAATTACTAATAAATAAATTTTTTCTTTTTTGGTAAATGTTAATAGTCACAAATAAATTTAAGCAATAGAAGGAGCATTTTTATAACTATTTCTACAAAATATAAAAGGAAAGGTGCCAAAAAGAACTCTGAAATTCGTAGTTAAGGGACAGATTTTTAATTTTTCACAGTTCAGAGACAACTGTTTTCCTTCATTTGCAAGTGTTCAAAACAAAAAACCTCCATGTGAATAGGAAAAAGTAGGTGAGATGGCATTTGGCAATACAAAATGGATTTGACTTGAAAAGAGTTCCAGTATATTATACTTGGGTCATTTCTATATTTATTTGAAGGCATTACAATTACTGTGCTTTCAAATTACATAATATTAAATACTTTTATTTATTCTATTGTAATAAGTTATATTATCAATCAGTAACTTGACTGATAACCCCGTAATAATGCTAGTTGCTAATATTATAACACAAGTATCACTCAAAAATTATATTGTTCCTTTCAAAAGAAAATAAATATTGTTCATTTTGTAATAAGCGATTACAAACTGTTAAGTAGATTCTCTGAATGCAGCATAAAATTATTTAGCTAATAGCTCTGTAATTGTGATAGTTACAAAAAATTAATTATAATTTCAATATAAAAAATCTTTATCACCTCAGAGAAGAAAAATATTATTTTAGCCGCCAAAAAAAAACAATTAAGTAAATGCGAACTAATAAATAACTACACTTACTGTATAGTGACTTCAATTATTATTTCATAAACTTAAAGGCACTATAATTTTATGCCTTCAAGTAACCATAGCAAGCACCAGTATATTTTTGGTTTAGGACATGTCCGGTTCAATATCTTAATATTGGCAATTTCTATGGTTTTGAAGGCATTATAAACATAGTAAGTTACCAACTAATAAATATTTTTGTGTATTGTCTCATATTGATTTATCTTACCACTCGGTAGCTTAATTAATTATATTGTAATTATGCTTTTAATAATATTATTGTACAATTACAACTTAAAAAACACATTGTTGCTGTCAAGACAAATTATTATTCACTTCATAACAAGTGGTTACAAACTGTTAATAGATTCAATTAATGCATCATAAAAATTTATTTTATCTTTCCATAATTTAGCTAATTTCTTTGTGATTATGACACTTACAAACAATTAAATATAACTACAATAAAGGGGAGACGAGCAAATGGTAAAAAACACAATACATGTAAAGGAAGATGGCCTGGTAAATTCATATGTTTGTTAACTCGTGCACATGAACTTCATTACATCCTACATTCAACACTCAAAAGAGCCTCCACCATGCCAAAAGATTAAAAGAGAAACAAGGAAACGGGGAAAAAAAAAAAAAATCAAGGAAGCAGGAAGTACTAACTGATTTTGATGTTGCCATCAACATAAGAAAAGGTGAAGAGGATTGGACATTTGAGGATAATAGGACCAATTCAACTTTAAATTCAAAAACCATGTAGGAAACTGAGTATCCAACAAAATCCATTCTCATGTTAGGTAAACTAGAGAGCGTGCTGTGCAGTGTAGAGGTGCCACAGAAAACAACTCATCCTCCAATTGTGCAAGAAAAACACATAAAGCCTATTCACGGAATCATCAGGAAACAGCAGAACATAAACCCTCCGTTTTGATAAACATAGACAAAATACTTCAATCGGGTGTGAACCATATGTATGAACCAATCAAGCAACAAAATCTTGGAATACTTAACAGCAACATTTACTCATTTATTTCAGTAATAAAAAAAAAACTGACCCGCGTAGACCCGAACCGTTTCGACTCGAGCCACCTCCTTGGCCAGCGCTGGTAGTTCCTCGCCCAATATCTCCTCCTTCCTTCCTTGTCCATCTAAACATTTAACAATTCTCACCAAAAAAATACCATAGATACAGAAAATTAAAAAAAAAATAGACAACAACAACAACAACAAAGGATTGAAACTGAAAGTGAACCTGATGGTGATAGAGAAGAAGAAAGCGGTGGGGGGCAAGTGAAGGAACGTAGATCGGTCAACTTGGAAGTGGCATCATCGAAAAGGAGATGAATTCCATCGGAGAAGGAAGCGTAAGAGAGGAGAGTGGAATGGAGCCTGGAATTGAGGTCGATTAGGGTTCGGTCTAAATCGAAACACTGAGATTGAAGCTCGCCGATATAGCTTCGTGCTCGGCTGAGATCTTGCTCACCGTTGAGAAAAGAAAGAGTTGAGGAGGAGAGAGACGATACTGGTGGCAGAGTAATTTGGATTGATGCGTCCATTGGATTGGGAAGGGAAGAAGAAGGTGTGAGTAAATTTGATGGTTGAGTGAGGGTAGTTTAGGGACATCTCTCCCCCTCCTCCTCCGGTTACGTTAGTTATGTTTGCTTCGCTTCTCCTAAGAATGATTCTATTTCATTCGCCCAACGGAAACTACAGAGTAAATTAAAATTATTACGGTTTCAATCTATATTTACATTTACGCACCGTTTGTTTATGCATTTTAATAATCTTTTAAGAAAATTTTTTTATATATTTTAAATTAATATATTTTTTAAATTTTTTTCAAATTATTTTAAAGTGTTAATGTCAGAACTAATTTAAAAAATAAAAAATATATTATTTTAATATTTTTTAAATAAAACTCATTTTAAAAACAACCACCACCACCGAACCTCTTGATACGCTGCCCATGGACATTATAGCCCCGCAGACGACAGCGCCTTTGTCTTAAAGTCTTTTAAGAAAAGAATTAATTTTTTTATTTTTTATTTACTCATTTTAAAAACAACCACCACCACCGAAAACACATTATAATTTTATTTTTTTTAATTTAATTTAAATTTAATTAATAATTTTATATTTAAAATAACATATTTAATCAAATAATTAAACAAAGCCAGACTTCAAGAAGACGAAGGCATAAGGTGCATCTCTCACCCTCGTAGCCTTCCATTGTCTTATACTACTCTTGGGACAAAGCCAAACTTCTCATACAATTTAGCCTTCTATACATAGAGGTTACATAAACCCTAATATTCTAAATAGAAAAACATAAATATTTCTCCTAATAGGAATTTCGTACACAATATCCAACAAAAACTCTAACAAATAAAGTTTCGTTTATGATGAGAAAAGGCCAGCAAGAACTAAGAATAAATGTTAACTATGCTAAGGAAAATAGTAAAGAAAACAATATCGAAACTTTGTAAATTAAATAATCCAAGACGTAGAAGTTGTAATCACATAAGGAAACAATGTTAAACCGACTTTCAAAATCAAGTTATGATAAGAAAACCCAAATTTGATGATTTAATAAAAAATAAAATAATTAAAAAAAATTGTATAAAAAATCCTTCCTTAAAAAAAAAAAACCATGGTGTGGAGGAAGGTATTATTCACCAAACTCATTACATTGTGGATTACAATGGCAATTTATAGTAATTTTTTTCATTTTGATCTCTTTTTTTAATTTTTAATTTAATTATTGAATTTCATGTTTGTTGATATTTTAATTTGATAATTTATTTTAATTTTAATTTTAATTTCATATAGTTATCAAGATTTAAATGTATTCCCCTATATTGGATTAGTAATTGATTTTACAAAAAGAATTCAATTTAGTTATTTCTATAAAATTTAAAAGAAAGAGACCAAAATTAAAAACAATACAAAAGAGCATCATTTTTTTCTTCACAAAAGATGCTTTCGAGTTTGGTACTTCATCTTTTCTATTTCTTTAGTCATCAATTTTTTTAATTCAATTTTGACCTTTTTGTTGTATTGATAATTTTTTTTTATGTAGTCACCATTGTATCATATAGTTGTTCTAATATTAGGTTGGTGATAGATTTATAAAATATTGTATAAATTCTTTATTTTTCTAAATATGAAGAGTATATAGACTAAAATTGAAGTATAGAAAACATTGAAACCTAGAAGGAAGAATGACATAAGCTATCATTGAAATTGAGGTAAAAAGAGAGAAAAAGAGATCCAAAAAAAAAAAAAGGATTGTTAAAGTCACATCATATTTATAATGCAACACACATCAAAAATTTTATAGGGTAAAAGATATTGTGATGGTTATAACAATATCAAACAAGACAACGATGAGAGCTAGAATGACTATTTACATACAGCTCAAAGTTTGCGAATTTCCTCATATCATATATAAAGTACTTGCCATGAATGTTTTTTTTTTTCACCAGTTTAGTCTCTTGATTTTTAAAAGCTTTTTGATTCAATCTAAAAAAAATTTATTTGCTTTTTTAATTTTTATTTTAAGTTATTGAGTTAATTGAAAATTATACTTCATAATTTATTAAATTTTATTTTTTTAGGGTTATTATGATGTCAAACAATTGTCTCAGTATTATATTGTTACTCAATTTTATGATTGTTTATTTTTTATATATAGTTAAATGAATGTAGTTTCAGAAAAAAAAAAAGTTACTAAATTTATGGACTTCACGAGTCAGTTTGCGGTTTTGGCAATATAACTTTTTTTTATTAGATTTAATTTTATGATCGTCTATTTTATAATCATCTACTTTTTTATGATATAGTTAAAAAAATAGTTTCAGAAAAAATCATATTATTAAATTTTATGGAGCCCATTAACTAGTTTTTGGGTTTGATAAGTTAACCTAAATTGTCCTAGTTTATTGATTTGTAGGTTAACTTTGCTTGACCCAATTCAGATATTTAGTCGGTTAAATTTATTTGTTTTTAGTTATTTTTTTATTTTATCATTTGATATTAGATTTATTGAGAATTAGACTTTATAATTACTATTGTTTCATTTTCTATAAAGTTATCACAATCTAAAATAAACATTTTAATATTATCTTGGTGCTCAATCTTATGATCTTCTATTTTTGTTATCATATAATTAAATAAGCAATTGTTTAAAAAAAATTCAAGTTATTAATCTCAACGGACTTTATAACCTAATTTGGAAGTTCATTAAGTTGACCCAGGTAACCTAATTTATGTGTTTAACAGGTATACTCGCTAAACTTGATACGCCTTTGGTTTTTTTTTTTTGTCCTTTAGTTTTTTTAATTGACTATTTTTTAATTTTATTATTTTATATTGGATTCATTAAAAAATAAGCTTTATTATTTATTTTTTATGCTTTCTATAAAGGTATTACAGTCTTAAACAAATATCCCAATATTAAACTAATGCTCGATTTTATGAGCATTTATTTTTTATTGTATAATTAATTAGAATATTTTTTTAAAAAAAATTAAACCCTGTAAAGTCCATAACTCGAGTCATGAGGTGACTTGTCGATATCTCATTATTAAAATATTATCAACTTGGATTGTTTTTTTAACCTAGTTTATTGATTGTTTAGGTTGTTTTTTAATCAATAAAATCAACTAATTCATGTCAAGACAACTTTCACATGGTTTGATTTAAAATTTAAGTTAGATAAAAAACCGAGTCAAGATATTTCATGATTGTCTCACTTGGTCAAGTGTAATGACATCGCAAATAAATTCCTTACTACTTTAAAATTTTCACTTAATCTTTATTTTATTTTTTTGTTCAACGAGGCCAATAGACTAGTTAATACTAATTACATATTAACTTTATTAAAAGCTTTTAGAAAATTCAATTTTAAAACCCAAAATATTAATGTATAAACATAGTTGTAGTTGATATTTACCATAAAGCTACAACCTTTTAACCTGATTATAATGCTTGTGATGACCATACATAATTTTTATATTAAAAAATTAATTAATGACATGTGGTACATAGAAGTATATTTTAGTCTTAAAAAAGAGAATATATGCACAATTAAATCTCCACAATTTTCAAACTTCAAATTCATGTAATTATGGCTACAATCAATATTATTTCCTTAACTTTTGTACTTTAAGAGACACAAAATGCATTAATGCTAGTATAATTATTATTATTATTACAAAAAAATAATTATTTACACTTGTTTTCTTTTCCCTTATTAATCTAAAAAAACAAAAAGTAGAGTTTATACAAACATATTTTATTTTTTCTAATAAATTCATAATGAATGTGTCTTATGTTCAACAAAAATACTTATACAAAGTAATTTTTAGAAATGATTATAAAATATTAACCTGGCATGTATTTTGATATAATTTCAAAAACACTGAAAAAATAAGTAATGCTAGTTTCGTACTAGAATTAGCTGTGATTATTATAAAAGCCTTGTTCTATATGCCAAAAAAGCTCTCAAACTATTGATTTGTAATAATTGATTTTATATGTGAATTTCTAGCTAGAAAAATAGAAAACAATTCAATCATAGCCAACTCCTAATAAAAATTATGTTTTATACATATAAGAAATTTAAAATCATTAAGTGGATTGATTATGAGATATTTGATATTATCTAGTTATCAAAAATGATTGTTTGCCTAACCTTATAGATCTAAGCATGGTTATGATGTAAATGTCTTTAAGGTTGGAATGAATAAAACCACAAGTATCTTTACCCAACTAAATGAAAATTTGTTTTAGTTTAACTAATACTTTTTATAAAAAATGAGAAAATGAACCATAAGAAAAGTAACAAAATGTGAGCATTTTGTGTTCTTGTTTATATAGATATGCATGATTTTTGTTTATACATGATCATTCAAACTTTTAAAACCATATTTGAATTTAGTCATCCTTCTTACTCATGCTACTTTAATTATAATGGATCTATTCACCATGTATCAAATTTATAAATGTTTATGTGATGTACAAATTAAAGGTGACATATACAAATTAAAAATAATGAGAAAAATTGATGGACTATTATAGATACTACGAGTATGGTTGATTGTATTGTTCCCTAAATTGAGCATATATTGGTAGAGACCTTAAGTTAGGAGCTACACATCTATTATCTATACCTATATTTAAGAATTTAGACGGTAAAGATATATTGTTTTTCTTACTAAAAAAAACTAATGAAAATTATTTTAAAAAAATATTGTATTTGCAAGCATACCTAGATTAAATTAGGCAAACTAACTTTTGCATATTTATAAAAAGCTGTAAAGATATATTGTTTTTCTTATTAAAAAAAACTAATGAAAAATTATTTTAAAAAAATATTGCATTTGCAAGCATACCTAGATCAAATTAGACAAACTAACTTTTGCATATTTATAAAAAGCCTAGTTTTCCAAAAGAGCTAGAAGAGAAAACATCAATTTAGCAAAGCATCCTTACATATAGAGATTTGTACTTTGCTTATGTGATTAATTTTGTGGCAATACATAATCAATGTTTTATATAACTCTACAACCCTTAATTATGAGGTTACATGCTTTAAATTAATTCACACAATTCCTTCTTTTTTTTTTGTGGTTTGCTTAAGCAACAATTATGGCCCTTATAGAAAAATCTTCACTATCATTAAAGAGGTCGAGAAAATAATTAGTATGAAGT